TGAGAATGAATATTATAAATACATTTTAAGATTTGCCCGTTAGACCTTTTAATACTCAGAGGAGCTGAATAAAACTGCTGACAACATATAATTCATACAATTGGATGACATGTTTGAGGGGGAAATTTTTTTTTCCAGGACCAAAATTTTATTTATATTTCTATGGCAAGGATTTCCCCAGTTCCCTGTTTTTATTTTATTTTTAAATTTATTTATTCTACTTTAAGTTCTGGAGTACATGTACATATGGTGCAGGTTTGTAACATTGAGGGGGAAATTTTAATAGATTCTGATTTGGAATTTATTTTTGAAGATGAAGAACTAATATCTTGATCAGAATTTCCAAATGATTAAAAAACCACTCATTGAAAGTGAAAATTTGATTTTTAAAAACTAAATTCTTTAATGAGTTGAAGAAATAAGATTTTCCTTGGTAACAGCTGAGATGTAATTCACGTGCTATGCTGTTCACTCAAGGAAATACGATTTTAACTCAATTTTAGAAAAGGAATTTTAGAACATATATAATGTTCTATTGAATTCCCTAATGCCATTTATATGATGTGGTTTATTTTAGTTTATTTATTAAAAAGAAATTGAAGTTCTAGTTATAGCACCTTTAGTCTCTAACACCTTTCATACATATTCTCATTAACCTGTCACCTCGTGTCTTACACTTAATCTAATCAGTGTTGCCTCTATATTATTGATTTATATATGTTTTTAGGCATTAAGCCTTCTTGAATAATACCACATTTGCTAACCTAAAGTTAAAATTCTACTTTGCATCTATTTTTTAGTTTTATTACCTTATTGATAAGGTATATTTAAAAGTGGATCTACAAAATACTGCACAAAAATATGAGTAATTATTCATAATGTGATGGTTTTGTTTCGTTTTTAATATTCTATAACAAAGTTAGTGTTGAGTCATTTGAGACAGGTTTATTTAAATATATATGTATCAGGACTGTGCATGGTGACTCACGCCTGTAATCCCAGCACTTTGGGAGGCCAAGGTGGGAGGATTACCTGAGGTCAGAAGTTCAAGACCAGCTTGGGCAACATAGCAAGACCTCATCTCTACAAAACATTTTTAAAAATTAGTTCGGCACGGTGGGGTGCACTTGCAGTCCTAGCTGTTGGGAGACTGAGATGGGAGGATCCCTTGGGCCTGGGAGTTCGAGGCTGCAGAGAGCTGTGGTTGTGCCATCATTGCCCTTCAACCTGTGTGACACAGTGAGACCCTGTCTCTAAAACATAGGTACATACATACGTGTGTGTGTGTGTGTGTATAAAACAAAATATTGGGTATTGTAATCTCATTTTCTACATAAATTATCCCCTAGGTTATTTCTGATATCCAAGATAGAAACCCGGATTCATTTTTCCTAGGTATTGGGTTCTTGATTGTCTTTGGAGCTAATTGATGGGTCTTCTTTCACCTTGGTTTCTCAGCAAGGAGAACTAATGAAAATGAAAGGAAATGAAGAGTTTTCCAAAGAAAGATTTGATATAGCTATTATCTATTACACCAGAGCCATTGAATATAGGTAAGAGCAAAATAGAACAAAGAGATACTGTTTCTATGGCAGATCAAGTTAGAATGGTAGTCAGAAGAAATAAAAACTAGATGAAGAATTAGAGAATATCTTCCAACTTGTTAGGCAGAATACATTTTCTCATCTTTGGGCATTAGAAGCATTGGAGATGGCTTGGGTATATGAACCTAATCTAGTAGCATAATTCAAGCAAGTCAGGCAAAATTGTGAATTTGGTTCTGCCCTCTTCCGTTTTCTTTAAAACTTTGCAGTACGGAGTTATCTCTTTTGTTTTGTTCTTATTTTGCCATCAACCGAGTCCTCCCAAATTATTAAGTGGTCAAAAAGGGTTAGTTCTAAAACTTAAGATGCCACCCATTCAGGGTTTTTTGCTAAGAGGGAACTTTTACAGGATAATTGATGGATGTATACGTGCTCTCTTCCTTGTCTTCTCTTTACTCAGCTGCCAGAATTTTGTAGCTTTCCTCCAGATGTGCCTCATAACTCTGCCCCTCTTGTCTCAGCTGGCCGCCTAATACTGTACCAGCCTTTGGAGGGTGCTCTGTAGTCACTACTGTCTCCTCCCTTGCCCATCTCCATGGGGAATGAGGGAATCCAGTTAGTGTGCCACCTTGAAAGGCTGCTGCCATATTCTTTTGAGGAAGAAGTGGAGGAAAGGGAGATCCATTTCACCACACATAGTTAGATAAAACTAAAAAACAAAAGTTCAAATGAAGCTATTTTAATGTGCAGGTACTGTAGACTTCCTTTCTCAGTTCCTCATCAGAACAGCACAGTCCTGACTTCTTGTCTAGGTAGTGCCACCCTCTGGAGTTACTCTGCCGTTGGCCAGATGTGAGGTAGTGCCACCCACTGGAGTTACTCTGCCGTTGGCCAGATGTGTCGTCTGATGCTCACAACAGTCCTATGAGTTAGAGCAACTAGAGTTATCTTCATTTTGAATATAGGGACGTCTAGGTTGGTTCAAACAAAGTTACTTAGGTAGGAAGCGAAGGAATTGGGACTTAGCCAGTTAAGCCTCTAGGTCCTATATTCTTTTTGCTTTGCCACACAGATGTAAAAGTTTAAAAAAGTTTTCTCATGCCTTATGATTTCTGTGTGATTTTTATTTGTTTCGTGTGTAATGTGCTTTACTGACTAAACATTGTGTCTCTTTAAGACCTGACAACCACCTTCTTTACGGTAACCGAGCTCTTTGTTTTCTTCGTACTGGACAGTTTAGGTAAGTTGGTTAAAGTATCTCAGCCACTGAATTATTTTGCTAAATACCCATTTTTGGGAAGCAGTTTTGTTTTGCAGGTATACAAGAAAATCCTTGAATAGTTCTTTGGCGGAAGTAAGCTAAGTGCTGAAAAGAGTACATTCAGGGTTTATATGTAATAGCAACAGTGACAGCAGCACTATTCTGATTGAGTGCAGACAGGTTAAACATTCTTTTAAGTGCTTTGCATATGTTGTTTAGTTCTCACAGCACCCGTAATAGGTAGGTAATGTTACACTCCACATTTTACATGACCAACTTGTACCTCTAGTAAACAGTGATACCAAGATTTGAATGCAGATTTTACCTGATGTTGTCCAAGTCTGTGTTTATGATTCCTGTGTTACCTCTTTATCCTTTGCTAATTAATCCATATAGTATAAAAGAAGCATTTTCATTTTTTCTCATTTATCCTGCTATAAAAAATTAAGTAAATGTCCTTCATAAGTGGAAAAAAGCAATTTAATAGTATGAGAGTGGGATCATAATTAATTTCTAGTTTATGTTGAATTTGAACTGATTTTTTATTTATTAGCTAAGAAAGGTTGAGAAAGATACCGCACTATGATTTTATTCCCCAGTATAAAATTTTTAGGACATAAATTATAAGCATTAATACTGACCAGGTAGACTATTATATTTAATTTTGTCCTGCCTTACCATAAGAAGGGTGTAGGTTGGATTCAAGAATACAACCACACAGTAGAAGAATATTCAAAAGAGAACGCACCAGAAGATGAAGTTGGAATCTGGGATCCTCAAAACAAAGCTACATAGGCATAAGGTCCTGCGTAGATATTAGTGATAATTCATATTTGCCTCTGACCTTCAGCTGCCAAAATGAAAAGGGGAAACTTGACAAGTTACTTAATTCTTACTGTCCATAAAGCAACAGGACACCAATTGCTCAGGGGAAACAGTTTTCCTAGTGTTTAGTTTTGAAAGAAGTTGGCCTGTAATATTAATTGAGTGATGGAGTAGAGAATAATCTGAGCAGTATTCCTATGCGTAACAAAAAACTCCCTGAAAGCACAGTTTTGGGTTTCACAAATACTTTTTTTTGTAAAGTTTTCTCTTGAAAGCTGAGAGTCTGCTATCAGTTGTTTTTCAGTAAAAGCACTTGTTCGGGAGGGTGGGAGTGGGGAAGGTAGTATATGCTAAGTATGTAGCTTTAAAAATAACATTTATTGTGTTTTTCTTTTATTGTAAACAGAACACATTCTCATGGTAGAAAATTTGGAAAATACAAGAGTTTAAAAAGAAGAAAATAAAAATCACCACCTTGGAGAATACCGCTGTATTAACGTTATGCAGCTTTTAGATGGCTTAAGCCGTGGATAAACCGAGGCTATCTAGACTAGAGGAATGGATGGGCTTGACACAGTCTTCCATCAATACCACTGTCCTCAACGGGTTCTGACAAGAAATGAGCTGCAAATGTCTTTAGGTTATTGCCTCTGGCTAGGTCCAGAATTGCATTTATTTTGTGCTGTTTGAAGGTGAATTTGTATGCTTTGAAGATCAGATGAATAGGTTGGCACCTTGGCTAGCCTCTAGTGAAAATCGAGGCACCTATCTGAAATAATTGCCTGGCAGAAGGTTATCCGCTTTTCCGCCTCCGAGAGCTGAGAGGCAAACCAGGGTGTTTCTGCTCTTTCATGAGTGTTGAATGCTAGACATACAAGGAAGATCCTTGTAATACCCTGCTGCAGCAGGAGGTGAATCAAAGTAGAAGTACAGGAGCCAGGTAGCTTGGTGAGGTAAAGGCCAAGAGCAGCTTGCAGATCTACCCTTGTACCTCCTTGCTGATGGTCTAGCTTGTGGTTTAATACCATCTACATTTCAGTAGTGCCAGGTCAGCAGCATTGAGATCCCTTTGCTTCTTACTAAGCAGTCACCATATTGGATGCCTATTTAATGCACAGTGTTTTTACCACACTGGTTTTGCTGGTGTTTCCTACCTCCTCACACATTGTCTGTATGATTTGCTCAATGATGTAGGGATAACGTTTTCAGAGTCCATAGTGTATATAACTCCTACTCAGGTGACTAGATGGTGTGACTTAAGGAAAGAACCACATTGCCAGTAATTCAAATGTGCCATTGACACAGGAGGACCCATGCCTGAGAAAGACTTTTATTTGAGTTACTAAGGTTGAGACGTTTTGAAGCTCTCAAGCAGAGGGATGCTGGATCTGCTGTGGAAATCTGGCTGAGCAGCTGCAGGGACAGCTGAGGGTAAAGCATCTACCCTCCCCGTTTGGTGAGGATGCACTCCTCAGCTGTTCTGCAAGGTCAGGCTTCTCTGCTGTCACTGAAGCAAGAATTGAGATGCCCAAAGAGAACAGAAATGGGACAATTTAATACTTGAAAGGAATAAAACGATTAAAGTCTTAAATGCTAAAACTTCTAAAATAATTTATCCTAAAAGCTTAGAAAATATAAGTTGAAACTTTAAATGAAAAAGAGATTCAATTTAAAGAAGAGAACTTTGGTGAGATTAATATCTTAAAGGGTAAAAATAATAATACTGTATCTTACAACATGGTTGTCACTGTTCTGAGTACTTAATGTGTATTCGTAAAATCCTCACAACTGTGTGAGGTAGGTGCTACTGCCTCTTTATAGATGATGAAACTGAGGCACAGCGAAGTGTCTGAGGACACTAGGTGGATACGATGGAGACAGAATTTGAACCCAGGCAGCCTGGATGCAGAGTTTCTACTATTAATCACTATGGGATGGTGGTGGTAGAATAAAAGGGAATGTGAAAGTCGAAAAAAATGAAAAAATAAATGGTCCAAATAGTTAATAAATGTTTGTGAGGAAATGATTATCCTTCCAGGACATGTAGATTAAAAACTGTGAGTTTCTCTTTTATACCCATCAGATGGACAAAAGCTTAAAAATCTCATAATACCAAGTGTTTGAGAGGATGTGGAACAAAAGAAACTCTCATATTCAGCTGGAGAAAGTGTAAATTGGTACAATCACTTTGGAGAGCAATTTGACAAGGTGAAGATATGCACACTCCGCAGCCCACTTCTGGGCTCATATCCTCTGAACTCTCAAATGTGTACCCAAGAAGATTGTACAAGCTTCATGATAGCACTGTTTGTAAGAGTAAAGAAATGGAAACGACCTAAATGGCCATCAATAGGGGAATGGATAACTATGGTATATTCATACAATGGAATTCTATATGGCAGTTAAAATGAACGCACTGTTGAGTGAAAAAGCAAGTTGCAGAATGATTTGTACACTGCGATGCCATTTATTAATGTTTAAAAACGTGCAAAACAATATGCATATATACAGACTGTGTATTAAGAATGTTTTAAAATGCATGGGCATGTTAAACATCCAGAGAGTGGCTGGGCAGAGAAGGAGGGAAAGGGGATTGGAGTTGGGAGGGATGGTTCACAGTGATGTCAACTGTAACAAAATACTACCGAAAGAGCTGAAGTAAATATGGCAAAATGTTCATTCCTTGCTGAGGTGGTATGCCATTGGCACATAGTTCTTCATTTTGTTAATGTTATTCTCTGTGCTTTTATGTGTACTTGAAATATTTGATAAAACGTAAAACAAAATGTAATTAAAAATGCACATGATAAAAGGAACAAAAGAAAAACAAAAACAGTGACCACTCTACGTCAAGGATAAGATAGTGAACAATGATCTTGAAAAGAGAAATACAAGTATTTTAAGACCAGTTGCAGAAGGGTGAAGTGTGTGTGGGGAAGCCTGAGGTGAGGCGTATGTGGGAAAACAGATGCTTCATTCAAACATGGTCAAGGTGGCAGTGGCAGTGACAATTGTAATGCCAGAATAGTGTGCAATTTGTAAATCCAACCACCTTTGGGTGAATATAAATGAGTTAGGCCAAGAGCCTTTCAAAACCCCTCTGGGCCTGCGAATGTTGCGCTTGGAAAATGCAGGAGATGGAGTGAGGCAGGGATGGGGGACTGCGCTGCCTCCTGCGCCCCCACTCCTGCAGCAACCTCTCCCCTTCAGATCTTCACGTTGAGGAATGTGTTCATCCCAGGAAACATGGCTTAGAAGATGAGATGTCTGTTTTATTCTGGTCCTTCTCAAGGTGTAGTTTTCAAATACGAGTCGGTAACTATAGGGCATTTGAGAGTGATCGTTGTCATTGTTGAAGCAATCAGAACTTCTCAGTCCAAGAATCTAGAGAAAGGAATGAGGTATATCTATACCTTCTGCATTTCCAGCAGCTTAGGTAACGTACATGATTAGGCTTTGCCCATTTCTGTTCAATTCATTCTTGTGGGACTTGTGAAAAATTCAGGTTCTTTGGTGGGATATGATGAACTGTGTAAGGGGAAATGTTAATTGGAGAAAGGGAACATTTAGCTTGAATGGTTTTTGAATTGCTTTGGAAAATCATGTATTTTTAAACTTGGTGTTTACTTGAACTTTTGGTATTCATTTAAGTATTTACCGTTGACATGATACTGCCTTTCATCAGATCCCAACTGCGATTGGTAGCAGACAGACAGACTTAACTTACTCCTCTCTTGCTTTTTTTCCCCCTAAATTTCTCCAAGACCAGAGGTAGAAAGCACTGTATGTTTCCTTGAGAATTTCACAAATTCTTTTGTGTGTGTGTTGGTTTGGTGAATTATTCCTCGCTCTTCTTGCTGGTGTGGTCTCTCTATTTTTACTTAGAAGCAACTGAATTTGCTTTTGAAGAAAACACTTACTTTTTTCAGTCTTCTTGGGGTGTACCCCCTTTTTTAAAAAAAACAGTAACAAATGTGCATGGTAAGCCACAGAGTAGTAAAGGGTACACTGGACACTCACCCACCTCAGACCCATCCTCTGAGTCATCTCTTCAGATCCTTGTGTATTCCCATAATATTTTATGCCCATACAAGCACTTACGTTGAACCAAATGAAATTGTCATTTTTGTAAGTCAGAATATACGCAGTGCAGTTTTGTTTGGTTTATTGTAATGCATATGTCTGTTTTCTTTTAATGGGCAGGAACACTACGTACACTGTTGTACATCTTGCTTTTTTTAATGTTTAAATCTTGGAGCTTGTGGATCTGTATTTAAAGACCTACCTTGTTCTTCATGGCTGCACAGTGTTTTACTGAATGGATTGCCCATATAATCTGTTAGTTCATATTAATATATAGTTTATATATATATACACACACTTAGTTTATATTAGCATATAGATTATTCAATTTACAATGTTAAATTATAGATTGAATTAGTATGTAGATTTTCATTTTAAAAATTATATACACCTATGCAATGATTACCTTTTTATGTTTTACACTCAGGTTCAAATATATCTGTAGGATACATTTCTGGTAAATTTCTTTTACTCAGTTGAATGAAAGAGAATATATCATTTTAATTTCAGATACTAACTTTTGATTTAAAATGTCTGTTTATTTAGTACATGGTTATTACTTACTGCATATTTGTCAGTGAGTGACCATCATACCTGAATCTTGCTTTTGTTCCTTAGTTGGAAGATCTGGAAACTTGGAGAGTAGTTATTTCTTTTCTTTTTTTTTTACAGAGTCTCTCTGTCGCCCAGACTGCAGTGCAGTGGCGCGATCTCAGCTCACTGCAACCTCTGCCTCCTGGGTTTAAGCGATTCTGCTGCCTCAGCCTCCCGAGTAGCTGGGAGTGCAAGCATGTGCCACCATGCCCAGCTAATTTTTGTGTTTTTAGTAGAGACAGGGTTTCACCATGATGGCCAGATGGTCTTAATCTCTTGACCTCATGATCCGCCTGCCTCGGCCTCCCAAAGTGCTGGGATTACAGGTGTGAGCCACTGTGCCTGGCCAGTTGTTATTTCTTTATTGATCTGGTCAGGTCCTGAAAGTAATTATAACTGAGGAAAAAAGCAATATCCTTTATATGGCTTGCAAAATTCTTGCATACTTTTTCTGGTATGGTTTGAAAGAGTCAGTAAATAGCATCTCCTTTTCCTTCCAAATCCAGAATCTGTTTAAATATGGATGCAAAAGACAGGCAAATGATGATCAAATATCTCCTTTATTACTGAGGCAATTGGAGAACAGCCCTTAAGTCTGACAGTCAGGGGGCTGGTTACTGATTGGCTGGTGCAAAAGTAATGGCGGTTTTTAGAAGTAACGGCAAAACCCACAATTACTTTTCCTAATTCACCCACAGTCAGACAGAACTGGGCCCTTGGGAACTTTAAGCCTAGAAGGAAAGGGAATCTGGTGTTTTGGATTCCAAAGAGTGAGACCGGGTGCAGTAGTTCATGCCTGTAATCCCAGCACTTTGGGAGGCCGAGGTGGATGGATCACTTGAGGTCAGGAGTTCAAGACCAACCTGGCAAACATGGTGAAACCTGTCTCTACTAAAAATACGAAAATTAGCTAGGCATGGTGGCAGGCGCCTACAGTCCCAGCTATTCGGGAGGCTGATGCAGGAGAATCGCTTGAATCCGGGAGGTGGAGATTGCAGTGAGCTGAGATTGCACCACTGCTCTCTCAGCCGGGGTGGTAGAGTGAGACAGCATCTGAAAAGATTCCAGAAAGTGAGAAAATGAAGAGGTGAAGCCATGTATGATTAGTGTCCCTCCCTCACCATTAGATAAAGTATTCATCATCTGGAGATGTTAGTAAAGAGTGGGGAGAAGAAAGAGTTCAGGAATAATTAGTCTAGCAAATCCACATGGAAACTAGGGGAGAGGGAATAAGTGTTCTTTTTTTATTTTTATTTTTATTTGAGAGGGGGTCCTGCCCTGTTGCCAGGCCGGAGTGCAGTGGCACGATCTTGGCTCACTGCAACCTCTGTCTCCCAAGTTCAAGCGATTCCCCTGCCCCAGTCTCCTGAGTAGCTGAGACCTCCTGAGTAGCTGAGACTACAGGCACGCGCCACCACGCCTGGCTTATTTTTTGTATTTTAATAGAGATGGGGTTTCACCATGACCGGGATGGTCTTGATCTCCTGACCTTGTTATTTGCCCACCTTGGCCTCCCAAAGTGCTGGGATTACAGGCCTGAGCCACCACATCCACCCTGGAATAAGTGTTCTTCACAAACATCATCTTCCAGGACACAATGTAGCATATTTTATATGAAGTAATGGGGAGGGTCTGGAGAAATAACACTTCCCCTTGTAAGAATAGTAAGTTCAGCAGCTGGGCTAGAACTGTTTCTTACTCTGTTTAGTACTCTCACCATGTTACAGTCTTCAAGAGCAAATAACCATTTGCATCTCGAGTCTTGTCCCATTTTCATACATCTCTTGTGCAGGGAATTACTACTATGAAAAGTCAAACCTGATTATTTAGACCGTGAGCTGGTCTGGATAAGCAATAGCATCGTGTAACTTGACTGTGCTCATTTTGCCTTAGCTGTAGGATGTGGCCATATGCCATTAAATGTGAAATTTTATTAGTATTAATATTGATTGCATTCATGTACCTATAGATATTGTGATATTTATAATATGTGCTATTATAACAATACTGTTTGTAGTACTGTATATTACAATAAGTAATCATCATTGATTCAACAAATATTGGGGTTCTTTGATGGATAATGTCAGAAATTAGTAAAAACAGCCTCTGTGTTTCAGACAGTGGGCTGGCATTGTGAGGGCCTGTAGTGGGAAGGAGTGTGTTGCATTTGTGGGACTGATAATTGCTAGATGGCCTAAATATAGAGGAGAGGGGAATATGGTCAGAGGCTAAGCCAAGGAGGTTCTTGTAGGCTGTGTTAAGGCTTTTGGCCCTTAAGAGCAATAAGAAAGACAGTAAAGGATTTTAAACTTAGGAGAGAGAGCATGAGTAATACTTTAGTGAAATACTTTAATACTTTAATAAAATTATTCGAGCATGATGAGAATGGATCTGAATGGGATGTAGTGTGGATGTAGGTTAGGAGGCTGCTGGAGTATTCTAGGCCAGAGATTATGGTGGCTTCGAGCAGAATATTGGCAGTGGAAATGGAAAAGTGTAAGGATTCAAGAGTTTAGAGGTGAAGTTGACAGAAGTTGCTCATGTTTGGTGTTGGAATGTGAGAGTGAAGGTGGTTGGAACTATCATGACGTTTCTGCCTTAAGCAACGTCATGGATTATAGGCCTACTCACAGCGGGATTGCTGGAAGAGGAATAAATCTGTAGGAGGTGGAACTGGACTTCACTCTTGGACATACTAAATTGAAGTGCCTTTGCAGGCTGGGCGTGGTGGCTCATGTCTGTAATCCCAACACTTTGGGAGGCTGAGGTGGGAGGATCACCAGAGGTCAGGAGTTCGAAACCAGCCTGGCCAACATGGTGAAACCCCGTCTCTACTAAAAATACAAAAATCAGCTGGGCAAGGAGATGGGTGCCTGTAATCTCAGCTACTCAGGAGGCTGAGGCAGAACTGTTTGAACCCGGGTGGTGGAGGTTACAGTGAGCCAAAATTGTGCCATTACACTCTAGCCTCGGTGACAAGAGCAAAACTGTATATAAAAAAGAAAGAAACAAAAGAAAGAAATGCCTTTGAAGCATCCAAATTGCAGTGTTATATAGGTAGTGAGTTATATGGGTCTGGAACTCCGGGAGAGTTTGGACAGGAGATGTGTTTGGGATAGTTAGCCTCCATGATTTGAGGTTGTAGACGTGGGTGAGATTGCTTAGAGAAGTGTATCTTAGCTTGGACTGTACATTGGAATCACTCTTAACTTTGAAAAATACCACCCACCCCAGAGATTGTGATTTAATTAATCTAGAATAAAGCTTGGGCATTGGGCTTCTACAAGCTTCCCAGATGGTACTTATGTGCAGTTAAGGTTGAGACCCACTGGTCTACAGAGAACCTAGGCTGAGGCTAGGAAAGGAATCAGAATTGAGCCTTGAACACATATGGCCAATTAGAGAAGGATGAGCCTGCCCAGGAGAGTATTAAAAGGTACCCAGAAAGGTGGAACAAAGACTTAAGTGTAGTATTGTATGGTGTCATAGAAGTAAGTGAAAGGGTGGTGAGCAGTGTCTGTTGGCTACTGAGAAGCCAGTTACAATGGAACTTGGATTTGGCAACATGGACGTCATTCATAAACCATAGGGAAAACTGTCGGTGGGAAGCTTGGAACAGATGCCAGTTAGATGGGGTTGAGAAATGAGAGGAAATGGAGACAGCTAGCATAGGCAGTTTTTTGTTTTTGGTTTGTGTGTGTGTGTGTGATGGAGTCTCACTGTGTCACCCAGGCTGGAGTACTGTTGTGTGATCTTGACTCATTGCAAACTCTGCTGCCCGGGTTCAAGCGATTCTCCTGCCTCAGCCTCCCGAGTAGCTGGGATTGCAGGCACCTGCTTGCTACCCAGCTAATTTTTTTAGTTTTTTAGTAGAGACGGGTTTCACCATCTTGGCCAGGCTGGTCTTGAACTCTTGACCTCGTGATCTACCCACCTCGGCCTCCCAAGGCATAGGCAGCTTTTAAAGCTATTTGGGAAGAGAGACCCACGTGTGGAGCATAATAGGTGTGCCATTGGATTAGGCTGTAGGTAACAGAAACTTGATTCAACTGGTTTAAATGGTAAAGAAAACTTACTTCATTCAAGAGTTCCAGAAGATGGTGGCACTGGGGTTGTATATTCAGTGGCTCAACAGTGTCATCGGAGGCTTAGATTTTTCCAGCCTCAGTGTGTGACTTGGTCCTCAGGCTGTCCTCTCAGAATGTAGGATGGCTGCTGTAATTGAGACATCAGCAGAAGAAGGACAACTTTGTCTTATATCCTTTAAAAGAAGTCTTAATACACATGCTGAAAAGTATACAAGTGTTAAGTGTATAGATGGAATTTTCAGAAGTCAGACAACTGTAACCAGCACGCAAATCCCCTTGTTCCTCCTCCTAGTCATGACTTACCTCCTCTCTCAGGATAACTGCCATCCTGGCTTCCAGTGGTTAATTTTGCCTGTTTGAGTGCAATGTAAATGAAATACTATACTATGTGTTCTTCTCTGTTTGGTTTTCAGCACCATTTTTGGGATCCATATTGTGTTGCATGTAGTTGTAAAGTGTTCATCTGTTGCATGAATATACTGCATTTTATCCATTCCGTTGTTGGTGGGCATTTGGGTAGCTTCTCGTATTTGGTTTTGACAGATAGTGTTATTGTGAACATGTGTATTCATTTCTGTTGCGTGTAAGGAATGGAATTGTTGGGACAGAGGTTATGCTTATACGCATTTAGCCTCCCTGGGTGGCTACCATTTTGTACTCTTACAGCAGCATATGAGAGCTTCAGTTCTGTGCCCTCACCAACACTTAATATTTTTCATCTTTTACATTAGACATTCTGGTGGGTATGTATTGGTATGCTAATGTCATTATAATTTGCATTTTCATAAATTGAATAAGGATGTTTCAGATTTCATAAGGTTATTGACCATTTGGATATTCTCTTTTGTGAAGTGCCTGTTAAGGTCTCTTGCTGTTTTTTCCTCTTGAGTTGAATGCCTTATTCATTTTTAGGAGTTTTTCTTTTGTTTTGTATTCTGAATATGAGTCATTGGTCAGATATATGTATTGCAAATATCTTCTCACACTCAGTGGCTTGCCTTTTCACTGATGATGTTTTCTTTTCACAAACAAATTACTAATTTTAATATAGTACAGTTTATCAGTTTTCCTTTGTGGTAAGTTCTTACTGTGTTGTTTATCATCTTTACCTATTCAAAGGTCACCACCACATTTTCTGTGTTTCATCTAAAGGTTTGATTGTTTAACTTTGACATACAGATCTGCAGTCCATCTGGACCTGGTGTTTGTATTTAGCGTGAGGTGGTGCTCAAGATTCATATGGGCCAGGTGCGGTGGCTCATGCCTATAATCCCAGCACTTTGGGAGGACAAGGCAGGAGGATTGCTTGAGCCCAGGAGTTTGAGACCATCCTGGGCAACTTAGTGGGACCCTGTCTCTAAAAAAAATTTAAAAATTAGCCAGAAATTAGCTAGGTATGATGGCATGTGCCTTTAGTCCCAGCTACTGAGGAGGCTGAGGTGGGAGGAGTGCTTGAACCTGTGAGGTCAAGGCTGTAGTGAGAGGGACTTTTTACAAATGCCCTCAGCCTGGGTGACAGAGTGAGACCTTTTCTCAAAGAAAAGAAAAGAAAAAAAAAGATTCATATAGATGTCCAGTTTACCCAGAACCATTTATTAAAAGAGTATATTTTCTCTCTGTACTGCAGTAACACCTTTGTCATTAATCAGGTGATTATGCGTAAGGCTCCATTTCTAGTTTCTTTATTTTGTTGGTCAGGTGGTCTATCCTTATCTAGTTGGTTTTTTTTGGTATGTAACCTTCTAGTAGGTATTGATATTTGGTATTATAAGTTATCTAGTTTTGTTCTTCCTTTTAATCTCTTTTTAAGAGTGAATTAGCATAAATATGAATGTGAAATGATGAACCAGCAAATCTTAATCTAGGTTAAAAAAACAAAGTGAGTAAGTCAGTGAGTTGGGTACCTTGAGGAGACAAGAACAGTTGAACAAGTAAGATGGGATAAGCAAGGTTATAGTGAGATTTGGATACCTGAATCAGTGTTTGAACAGTTTCAAGTTCGAACAGTTTTGAGTGATGCTGAGTTCAGGGGTGCAGTGAGGGTGGCTGAGTTGGGCTAGAGGAGGAAGTCATTGAAGGTAAGAAATCCAGGAAACTGATAGACTATGGTATGGATCTGTTAGTACTTGATAGGTTATTAATGTACATTTAATGTAGCATCTAATTTAATATTTACCTCAGAACAGGTAGAACAGAATTATCATCCACATTTTACAGATGTAATAACTTCCCAAAGATGTTAATAACTTCCTAATAGCCCCAAGAAAATTAATGATTAAATTAGACCAGCCCGGGTCTTATGGTCCAGCTTCCATGCTCTGTTCAGTGTAGCTTAGCTGATGTGTTGTGTGAAAGACCTGGTAACGATATATCTGGAAATCAGAAGTCTTACTGACTTACAGAAATAGTACGGAAAAACATACAAATAAGAATGTTATGCATAGATAAGATGTCTCTATGTGGAAGAAATACTTCAGAAATATTAAAATAGTTATTCCTGGGTAGTTGTGATTGTGACTCTGGGTGACTTTTTCCCTTTGTCTTATTTTTCTGTATTTTCCAAATTTCCTATAATGGACATATATTATATGGATTTTAAAAAATTATAATTATCTTTTGACTAGATAACATAGATGGAAAATTCACAGAGTACACATATGCAAGACATAATACTTTTACTATAAAAGAGTGAACATTTTAAAATACTTAATTGTTTTTCTTTTTAGAAATGCCCTCAGTGATGGAAAGAGAGCCATTATTCTGAAGAGCACTTGGCCAAAGGTAGGTTTCTTCCATATGTTACACTGAGCACATAATGCCATACAACACTGTGAAAAATCTGTTCATGGATGTGTTTTTCATAAAAATGCTATAGAAATTATGTAGAGCTCCAGAATGTGAAAGGGGAGTCATCAGCTCCATGATCAGCATGGGGACCCAGCCACAGCAGTGAAAGGCTGTGTGAGGACAGGCAGCCCATGGGCCATCTTGAGTCTTGAGGGTGCCTTAGTGATTGAGAGGTCATCTCTGCTTATTCTGGGTGGATGAGCCTGAATGTGAAAAATGACTTAAAACTGGAAGGAAGTGTAGGAGGCTGTCTTTATAGGAGTCATGAAAAGATTTCTTAACACAGTGCACAAATCAGCAGTGAAAATAGCCACTTTGATATATTTGGCTATATAAAAACTTGTGTATGTCAAAAGACATCATGGATGAAATTGTAGTTTGAGAGGAGATAATTTGCCACATAGATAGCTGGTAGGATTTATAGCCAGAACATGCACATAATTCCCAAAATAAACAAGAAACCCGGTAGAAAATGGGGCAGTAAAACAAATAAGCATTTCACAGAAGAGTAATCCTGAATAGCCAATAGAAATAAACTATTTCTACTTCCTAGTAATCAAAATTGTAGGGATTTAATACACAGATAGAAAAATGTAACCAATAGTGCAGAATGGAGGGCCTCTACACAGAACCCACTATGTGAGTGAATATCACAGTGTGATATTGTTTGAGTCCTTCAGATTGGCAGAAATTAAAAAGGCCTCATAGTCCTGAGTGTTGGTGAGTACCTGTAGTAACAGGGAGCCCCAGTAAACTGGTAGGAGTGTGATTGCTTACAGCCAGTTCAGGGAGCACTCTGACAAGACAGACTCCACAGTTACTTGATGCTGAATGTGTGTACCCCAGACAGTTTCTTCAAATGTGCACATGGTGAGATATACAAGGTTGGTTATTGCAGCATTGTTTTAATGGCATATAACTGCAAATACTTAACATGTCTATTGATAAAACAGCAGATAAATGTGGTATTTTCTCTTGATCAAAGTTGTTACTCTGACCTGTCTGATCTGTCCCTATCTCGAACACCTGTTATTTCCCCAACCTCACTCCTACTGTTCTGTCCCTGGTTCACTTTATGTTGGCCTCTTGGCCTCCTCACTGTTCTTCAGACATGCCAGGCTTACTTCTACTTTGTACTTGCCCTTCCCTCTGCCTGGAATGCTTGTCCCCAGAGCATTAGCCAGTCGCCTTATTTCCTTTCAGTCAATATTGAAAAGGACTCTTCTCAATGAAACATTCCCTGGCCACTTACTAAAATGCCAAGCACCTCACTTCCTATGCGTTTATTTTCTTTCCCTGCTTTACTTTTTTCCTCCTAGGACTTGTCATTATTGAATATATTATATCTACCATTTGAGCTATATTTGCTATTGTGTGTCTTGCAGTATAACATGAACTCCACGAGGAAAAATTTTTTTTTGGTGTTTAGGTCACTTCACTCTTGAATCCAGACTGTCTGACAAGCTGCCTGACACTTGGCCGGCAGTCATTAGTAAATAATTGTTGACTTCGTGATTGAATGAATCAAATAGTAGATGGCAGTTGAATTAACTGGCTTATCAACATTTATGGATTTTAAAAAGTGTTAAATGAAACAATCAGTTAGAAGTATGACATAGGCTGGAAAAAACATCAAGTTCATGATTAGTGTGTGCTTCTGGGCAGTAAGAGAGAGAAAGGAGATTGGAGAGGGTACAAAGGCCTATCTATATAGTTTTATTTCTTTCATTAAAAAATCAGAAGCAAATATAACAAAGTGTAGACAGTTAATACTGGGTACCTGTAAATTAGTCTCTGTATTTTCCTAAATTATAAAAATCTTTTTTTTTTTTTTTTTTTAAGTGGAGTTTTAGATGCCAGGTGTGATGGTTCATGCCCGTAACCCTAGGATTTTGGGAGGCCGAGGCGGGCAAATCACTTGAGGTCAGGAGTTTGAGACCAGCCTAGCCAACTTGTGAAACGCTGTCTCTAAAACAAATACAAAAAGATGAGCTGGGTGTGGTGGCGCATGCCTGTAGTTCCAGCTCTTCAGGAGGTGGAAGGAGGAGAATCACTTGAGCCCAGAATGTGGAGGTTGCAGTAAGCTGAGATCATACCACTGCATTCTAGCCTGGGTGACAGCAAAACTCCCCCATCTCAAAAAAATAAATTGTTTTTTAAGTGGAGCTTTAAATAAGATATAGAAAGGCACATGTTATTTCATACTTCATTCCTGGTTTTACATAATTAAAAACTAAGGCAAGTAGAATCAGAATTTTAAGGCCTTAGCGAATTTAATCT